TTACAAGACCAGATCTAAACAGATCAGATCAGACCTGACCATCAAATTACCGTCCAAGTAAAACCATCCTAAGTAGTGACAATAATAAAAATCACAATAGTAGTACACGGAGTACATGGTAACCAAGTCGTAGCAATACTTTCATACTCTGTCTAAAATAACAGGAACTTCAATGATATTGACCATGAGATGTGTGATATAGGGCCTGTTTACTAACAAAGATAGTTTCCATTTTTCCAGAAAACTGGAAAACTAGAAAACAAGAAACGTGTTTATCAAAGAAAATTGATGGAAAACTGGAGGAAAAATAGAAAAACGTGTTTACCAAACCGTTTTCCAAAACGAAAAAAATGAGACATGTCTCTCTTTTCCTTAATGATTTGGAGAAGTGAATTTTACTAGTTTTCCAAATTTGGAAAACGCAGATGCTACAAGCCGCTGCAATGAATTTGCATACTTACACCTAGTGGTGGCTCCGGTCCCGCTCCGATGTCGATTCCATTCTAGTACCTTCATCCTCGTACCTTACCCCTTACCCCTACCCTACCCTACCCTACCTTACCCTACCATACTCACCCAAACCCCCACCCCGCATACCCCTTTTCCCCACAATAACCCTACCCCATCCCCTACCACATGCCCCTACCTCGGTCCCACCCCGATCCACCCTACCCTACTGCCACCCCCCTACCACCTCAACCCCACCCTGACCCACCCTACCCTACCCCCACCTCGTATATTACCCCCTTGCCCCTATCTTACCCCTTCCCATGCCCCCTTACCTCGGCCCCACCCTACCACCATCCTACCCACCACCCTACCCCTTCCCCTACCTCGCCCCCCACCATACCGCCATCCTATCCCAACTCCCTACCCTACCCCTACCTTACCCCAACCCCAATCCTACTCACTACCCCCACCCTTACCCCTAATCACCACCCTAACCCACCCAACCTCCGTACCCCTAGACCTTACCACCCCACCCCCGACCATACCTTCCTTCCCTACCCCGACCCCTACGAGTAGGTATGGGTACGGTGGGTATGAAGGGTTTTAGGGGAGTATGAGTAGAGTCTAAGATCGTGGTAAGGGTAGGGGTAGGGGTCAAGGGTGTGGAATGAGGTGTAGGGTGAGAGTACGAGGTATAGGGGCAGGGTAGGGGTTAGGAGTATGGGTACACGTACGGACCCCACATATTATATTATATATTTGTGTTCCTGAATGTTTGTGTGGCTATATATGTATAGGGTTATTTTAGACATTTTAATGTTAAACGGTGTTTTAAACCTTTTGAAGTAAACATGATCTTATAACATTGCTTATTTTATGCGTCGCTTATTAACGCAAGTCTTAATAAGCACCATTTAGTAACCTGGAAGTAAACGTATCAGTCTTCTGCATGATCACAGAACTGAGTGAAAAAATTGATGAACATGTTTTCAGATTTGAAAATGGAAAACTAGAAAATAGAAACAGAAAACTGGAGATAGAAAAACTGAAAAATAAAAACAGAAAATGGGAGTACGAAAAACAGAAGTAGAAAACAGGAAAATATCTCTGTTAGTAAACAGGCCCATACAATTTCAATAGCAAATAAAAGCAAATTCTTTCATAAAAGTGATGACCGATGACTGATGAGTGATAATATTTTATTTGTGACATATGTAAATTGAAAATGTTTAATTATTTATGTAATTTACACTGGAAAACATAGTACTCCGTTTGTGTGATGTCATATGCATAGTTTAAAATCGTGGATTGAATTTGCAACTCTGTTAAATGTCATCTTACAGTAATCGGCGCAAATTATATGGTGCAACCGGCGCAGCATGAGGATGGTGCGTCCGGTTGCAAAAACGACGTAGAATCAGTTTTTTTTTTTTTTTTTTTTTTTTTTTTTTTTTACTTTTGTTGTTAAAAATGATAATAACTTTTTTATTTTTGATCCGATTTTTATAAAATTTATATCAACATTTTTTATTTTTCATGATCTTTCAAATGAGACCAATATTGTGTATGTAATTTTAGGAAATTATCGAACTATTATATTAATGAGTATTGGATTAGAAGAAAAATCGAATCTGTTTGGGAGATGATAGGTTTGTGAAATAGAAGATCGAATCTGTTTGGGAGTGGATCAGTGGCCTCATTTACATTTGATAATACATTGAGTTACATCTTTTTATGAGCGAGTTACATCTTTTTATAAGCAAGTTACATCTTTTTATAAGCAAGTTACATCTTTTTATAAGCAAGTTACATCTTTTTAAAAGCGAGTTACATATATATAAACACGAGTTGCATTTGACATGCTTGAACGCGACTTACATATATTTACACGTAAAGTTACATATTTTTACACGTAAAGTTACATATTTATACACGCGAGTTACATATTTATACACACGAGTTGCATTTGACCTGTCTGAACGCGAGTTACATATTTTTTTACGTAAAGTTACATATTGTTACACGTAGAGATACATATTTATACACACGAGTTGCATTTGACTTGACTGAACGTGAGTTACATATTTTAACACTTAAAGTTACATATTTTACACACAAATGTTAATATGTTAAAATTACATAGGCAATATTGGTCTCATTTGAAAGATCATGAAAAATAAAAAATGTTGATATAAATTTTATAAAAATCGGATCAAAAATAAAAAAGTTATAACCATTTTTTAAAAACAAAAGGAAAAAAAAATATAAAACCATCCCGGTATACGGTGCTCACCGTATACGGGTTGCACGGTATACGCACTCGTAATCGGAATTATTCTAAGAAAGAATCGCCCTAAATAGGATTAAAACATGGTTAAAATTCCAAAATAAGACTTCATGTTTTATATTCCCTAAATAGGACTAAACATTACCATTATACCCTTATATAATTAAATCCCCAATCCTTTGCTCATCAAAGTCAGGTATTCCTCTGTCATCGATCGCAACTCAACTCCATCATCGAAGCTCAAGTGCGCACCAGACTACCAGAGCATCTCTTCGTTGGTTTTGCTCCTACCATCGTCGTCTCCCTTCGCCGCCTCCCTTTGTTGCCTCCCTTTGCCGCCGGTATGGCATCTATTGTCACCGTCTGATTTCGTTGATTTCGACCGCCAAATCAATAGTAGGTAATTGGTTCTTTTCCTTCTTATCTCTTCTTCTTCTCCTTGTTCTTCTTCTTCTTTTTCTTTTCTTCCTTTTCTCATCTTCTTCTAGGTCCTCTGTATTTTAATATTTCAGGATTTAAATTTTAATTAATTTAGCAATTTTGAACCTCAGAATGCAGATTCCCAGAAAATGACACTTCTTGAATCTGAGAATGTCAAACTTATTGGTTATTTGAAAAAAATGCCACTTTTATGACAGTATGCTTATAAAGATGGCAATCTCAGTTTGACATAAAATGACATTTTCGTATAAAAGATGACATTTTTTACTGTAAAAAGATGACATTTTCTATTGTAAAAAGATGACATTTTCACATTGATAGTTGTGACATTTTCATAGGAAATTATGCAATCATCCTATAAAAAGATGACATAAAAGTGGCATTCTCAGATCCAAAAAGTGAAATTAATCATTTCTTTCACTGGTTGTTTCATAGAAATTTGACTCTTAATTTGAAATTTTAAAATCAAAAATTTTATTTAGAATTTTGAAAGTAATCAAAGTAATAGACTAAAAAAAAAAAAAAACAGAGAGCCAGGAATAAGATGGAGCAGGAAGAAGAAAGTAGTGAAGGAGGAGAAGGGACTTGCCAATAGCGGAGGTGGTATGGACGAAGGGTGGCAACAACTATGGTTCCTGGAGGATGGCTGTCGCATCATTGTGGTTCCTGGAGGATGACTACCGCGCATCTCTGCGATACGACGGGAACCTGGAGGGCTAATTTTGTCAAACTGCTAATTTTTAATCCTAAAAACGTCCAAAAAACATGATGGTCCTAATTTTGCATTTTGTCATTGTTTTAGTCCCATTTAGGGAATTTTCTCTTATTCTAACGAATTTTGCAGAACTCTAACCACCGATGCTATATTCAAAACCTTATTTTTTGATTCAATGTTTCAATTCACATTTCAACAACCTTACTCAACATATCCTGATGTCTGCATCTAGGGGTGGCAGCGAGTCAGATTTATACCGGGTGAAAGCTCATCCACGTAACCTTGGACTCGAGCCGGTCCAGGTCGGGCCTCAGGCCGGACCTGACAGGGCTTTTTTTGGTTTCTTGAGGCCCAGAACCAGTTCGGGTAGCTACCGGGTCCGGGTTGGGCCCTGGCCGGGTCGGCCCGGGTACATTATTATTTTTTGATTTTCTAATTACTTCCTACCCCCCTCACCCCCACACCAAACCCCTCCCAAACACCCAGCCCAACCAATTTACCTTTTAAAGAATTTGAAAAACAAAAACAAAAAAAACTGGCCCGAATCGAGCCCGCGTTAATGTTTTTGAGACTTGGAGATCGCCCCGAAACAGTACCGGGTTGGGTGGCCCGACCCGGGTACCGGGATGGGTCGGGTAGCCCGACCCAAGTACCAGGCCGGGTTGGATGGCCCAACCCAAGTACCGGGCCGGGTTGGGTGGCCCAACCCTGGTACCGGGCCAAGCCAAAATAGTACCGGGTCAGTTGACCCAGCTCGAGTCCATCCCTACATCCACGTCCACCCGTTAATTTTTCATAATCCACCCACTCGTCCATCATCCATTAAAAATTACATCCACATCCAACTCATCCATCATGAACGGGTTATCGGGTGGATCATGTGAGTAAAGGGTGAATATATATGGTCGAACTTGAAAGACAAAATAAATAAATTATTATAAAGATAAATCATGACAATTAAAAATCAAAAGTTAAGATTCATTTAATAATAACAACAAAAACTTGAACAGTTAAATATATTACACTCACTAATTCACTGCCAATAAAGAAAGAACTAATTGTCAAACAAAATAGACATAAAGCTTCTTCAAGCTTTCAAATTCTACATTTTTGCATCGACACAAAACTATATTTGTAGTTCAACTGTCATTCGTTGAAACTCTTCAATTGTCTTTATTTCACCAATTCATAGATATGTGTGTTTTCCATTAACAAATACATATATATTAATATATTAATATTAATTATTATGTATACGTTTATATGTGGGTTAGCGGGTGGGTGGATGGAGCGGGTGATGGGTCGGTTGATGGGTTGGATGAGTGGTCATCCACACCCGATCCAACCCATCTTTCAATCACCCGTCACCCATTTTTCATCCATAATTTTTCGGATTTTCATCCACATTTTCGGTTCAGGTTGATCGGGTATCCACAGTTGCGGGTGATATTGCCAGCCCTTTCCGCATCTAAACACAAATGAAACACCTCATTAGAGGCAAAAGGGTGCAAGATTTTGTTTTACTGTACAATAAGAAGCCCTAAATATTTAGGAATCTGCAGGAAAGGGATAGTCAAAGCTGCCTCAAGATGTGTTCCATCTTTTCTTCAAGTATGCTTCCACAGATAAAGGGCTGCTTTGCTCCACACTGCTGGATGACGCGGAAGAGCAATCATTTACGTCGAGTAAGGCAAGGCTTAAGTGCGACTCTGCTGCACTGCTCGACTCTGGATAAACCTCATCATCATTATCATCCATATTTTGTGAATCCTGTTCGTTCTCAATTTGCAGTTGCATTTCTTCTTCAATATTTTCCTCGCCCCTTATCATCTTCATTACCTGGAAATGAGAGAATTATTTATATGAACTATTATAGTGCATTCAAAGTAAAAAGGATTTTTTCTGTGAAAAGTGAAAAACAATTATTATGTGCATCTCTCCTTCATTACTTTCCCGCCCCCGGCCTGATCATCATATTACTGATTTGATTTCCATCATATCTCATAATCCAAAACCCAAAAGCAATACAATAATATGTCAGAATTCGCTAGAAAAAAAGAGGGTTTATCTTAATACGTAGTAACTTTTTGCTCTGTGAATTCAATAACTTCATTGACCCCAAAGCCTATTAATTTATATCTAAATATGAGTTTTTTCAATTCATCAACAAACGTTCCACATTCACGCACCCTTTTAAACTATTCAACCTAGTCCTATCAATGCCTTTTACTTAGAGATTACTTATAATCTGGGGCCTCATCTTGCCATGTTAAACAGGCTCCAAAATTAATTAGTCGCCCCCCTGTGAGAGCTGCACTATTTAAATGAACGGGGTGGCAAAAGTTGCAGTGAATTACAATACTACCACCATGTTTTTTTCATACTTATTTCTCCGGATTATTTTATGAGCCCTTTGATCTATAATGGACCAATTCATTTTCATTTTTCCTAGGAAACACCTTTTGTTTGATCCATAATCTACATATGCAATAAGATGGCATGGAACAAAGACATATGCACTGGGGGAAATAATATGAAAGAACTCTCAAAATTATAAGCTCTGCAATTGCTGTTTTACCTGTCCTATATTGGGACGAGAACGAGCTGATTGTGTAAGGCACAATCTTGCTGCAAGAGCCATTCTGTGCGCCTGAGCTTCATCTCCATTCATATTCAGATTTTCATCAAGTATGCCTTTCAAATCTCCACTCTCTAATTTAGGTTTTGCCTTAAATATGTTTGGTAGAGTAGAAATAAGATGAAGAAGGAAAAATAAATAAATAAATAAATAAATAGGGAAGATACAGATATTTTCTCCAATTTGGAATAGGAGAGAAATAAAGAGAGAAAGAGAGTCAAAACTCAAAATCCCTTAAATTTAATAAACTAAATACCATTAGCAAAAATTATTAGTTTTCACTATAGTTTTCACAAACACAATTCCCAACAGTCATGACCAATTAGACACGTAGTTATCAACATGAAACTGACTATTTGACTCTTGGTAATTGCATTGGTGACATTTATGTGCTAAAATTAAAAGTTGATTTTTTGTCCTATGTGTATTTATAACTAGTATGTTGTACTCCCTCCGGTTCTTATTAAAGTTCCCACTTTCCTTTTTGGGACGTCTCTTATTTAAGTTCACACTTCCATTTTAGGAAACAAAATAATGCAAAACAGTGCCAAACAGTGTCCAAACAGTGCCAAACAGTGCACTCCACAGTAAAGTCAAATTCATTTTCTTAATATGTGTGAAGTCAAACTGGGAACTTTAATAAGAACCGGAGGGAGTAATATTTAAGGAATAATGAAATAATCCAAAAAAAGGAGGGTCCACCGGCTTCTATCCCTCAGATTATAAGAAGTTGAGGGTTGCTCCCCCCCCCAACTCTTCTAAGCTTCCCACCCACCATCAATAATGGGTCTTTTCTATCCTTCACACTTTTCTTTCCATTCTATGTTCTTATTTCTTCATACCAAATAACACAATAACACAACAAATGCATTCTTTATTTTCTTCTTAAGTCTCAACCAATCAGGACATTAAAGCACGTAACTTGGAAGGTTCTGAGGTTAATGTCACAGATCATATCTCACCCACATAACTAAGCTTTCTTGACCACCATGAGCCTCATATCCAATAGCTCTTCTCCCTGATAACAATTCCAACAGTACAACTCCAAAGGAGTATACATCAATCTTGTTACTGACTTTTCCATACATGAAATACTCGGGAGCAAGGTAACCAAATGTTCCCAGCACATCAGTATGTGTCATGAATGGTGTTGTTGTGGGTCCCCATATCGCTAACCCGAAGTCAGATAACTGCAAACAAACAGCCAACGAGCAACTATCTCGGATAAAGGAAATTAATTCATTACACATAGTAGTGTGGTGAGGTAGGTAGAGAGGAGTATCATCAATAATAGAGTACGGAAAGAGTGTTACTAAATATATAATATTCCTGATATAAATTATATTAGCAATATTATAAATTTAATAATCACAATTTCCTTCTCATATTGTTATTCCTAATAGTGAGTATGCTACCTTCGCTTCAAACAGATCACCAAGTAGAATGTTTGAAGACTTGACATCTCTGTGAATGATAGGCCGAGGACGTTTGTTGTGCAGGTAGTTCAGGGCTTCAGCCATCTGTAGAGCTATTCTGAACCTTACTTCCCAAGAAAGTGAAGACTTTATCTTTCCCTTTCCTGATTTGACAGTGAACTCCAGATTATGTTTTAATACATAATTCCAAATTAAAATTTTATAGTTCCAAGAACATATAAGAACAGATGTTTAACCTGATATGAGGAAACTTGTTTATTTGAGATTAGATCATTATATTTGGCTAGTGTGGGATTACTTAATAATTTCTGCCTTATAAAACCTATGCGATAAGGCTAGAGATTGGAGGAGAAGAACTTTATTGAACAAGTCAACCTACCATGTAAATTTTCTTCCAAGTTTCCTTTGGATAAAAGATTGTAAACAGATATTAAATCATTATCTTCAATACAAATGCCGAGTAGAGGTGCAATGTGTTCGTGATTAACTGAAGCCATTATGTCAATTTCTCGCATAAAATCCTTCCACGTTTCTTTTGATGACTTTAGAATCTTTATCGCAACTCTTTTTCCATCTGGAAGCAGCCCCTTGTATACTTTGTTACACCCTCCTTTACTTATTAAGTTCTCTGCACAAGTAAGTGAATGTTAAATAGGCTTACATGCAAAGGAATTATGTTATACTCAACTATCACTTAGGTATTCTTTATAAAGAGAGTTGGTTTGGAAGAATGTCTTGATTATATATATAATGATTACAAAGGTGTAAAAAAGAAGGCTTAACATAGAGATGTCTTTACAAGGTAACTATAGAAGTTAGGGACAGTAAGACACTATCACTTCTCACTAACCTGATGAGAAGTGAGAAGTGGATGCTCTAAGAACAGTATAGCTGAACCATTTGAAGCCAGTGAAGTTTGTATCAATCATAAGTTTCAAATCATTGCTTTCACTCTTGTCTGTAAAGCTGCTGCAGGTTTCCTCTTCAGAAGTGCTTCCGCTCTTTGGGCTAGAATTTGATCTAGGAGAGTCTAGGAAAGACCTGTTTGGTAAGGTCATTACCCACTGAACCACTGACATCTTCCTAGGAAGCGCAACTGGCATAGCAAGAGCAGTTTCTTTTGAAGAGTCTTAATTACCTTAGCTGTAAATGTGAATGACTGAACCTCTTAATAATTATTGAACAACCCTTACCTTTTGAGAGCTCTTTAGAGATTGAGTCAGACTCAACCTTATCCTTAAGAGTTTCTGTTCGTAGAAGGGGCCAGCCGGGGGTGTCAAGCCTTGCATCCTTTGTATCCTCCACCTCACCTAATTCTTCTTCTCTTAATCTGTTCTCAAGGCAGAGCCTTCCCGATTTGCCAAGTCCAGACTGACCATCCCAGAAAGTCGATCTTCCTTCCTTATAGAAACTTGGTCTAGGATCTCCAGCAGCACCTGCCATAATCAAGTTTAAAATGTTTAAAGCTGGAGAGAAGGCAAACCAAAGACAAAGATATACAGCTATACTCTCAATACTCTTATAAAGAAGTTGGGAACCTTCTCTGGTTGTTCAACTGGTTTAAACCCAGGAATGAAAAGTTCTCTGTGTTCACTAGTTCGAGTCCTTCAGGAGGACAATTGGAGGTTACCTGATTATTCAGGCCAAAAGTCCTGGACGCCGCGTTATAGAAAAAATGTGTGGTGGTCTATCCTAAGTTTTGGATTAGAAAATACGGGAGAATCACCTTGAATGAGTGTCTATAACTCCATTAGTATGAGACCCTTTGGCATGTGCCCAAAAACATATTGATGTGGGCATGTGGGCTTGACCCAAAGCGGATAATATCATACTAACATGGTGGAGTTATTGACGTTTGCGCTCCTAAGAAGTTGATCATTAGATTTAACCTGTGTATTCACAATTGGATCCTCTTTTGAAAACGATCCTCCCATTGTGAATAGCCATAACTCCAACGGAGGTGGGCAGTTGCCTTGCACAGTATTTAGCAATCCAAGTCCAACCCCTAAAAAAGCAAGTCACTGTCAACTAATATGTTCAAGAAATAATCAAATAACTACCACCAATAGAGTTGAAATTAATTAATGCACATTTATTATTAGCTAAATAGCCTTACCCAATAGCTAAGCGCATGCTAGTTCCTACAATAACAGCCACAGCACCATTTTTCTTTGCTTCCCTCACCAACACCTTTCTAACACAACTTCCTTTTGAAATCTGTGCTTTTAGATTAACCTGAAATCCCCATACAAATATCTCTTAATACTGTTCTTTTCTTACTCCCCCAGACCAGCTGGCCATAATAGCGCTACAAAGATTAAACATGTCAACTGGCAAATATCTAACCTGTTTTTTAGTGCATATGCCCTCGTAATCATCCACGTAACTATCCAAGGAGTATTTATCTTCAGCATTTGAATCTAACATGACATAGTAAATACCTCAACATAATAAAGATAATCTGTGCCTAATTAATTGGTATAAAAATCCAAAGAAAAACAAAACATGCAGTGGCGGATGTCTCGTGTCACAACCTTTTTCAAACAGAGGTTGTCCAGATTGAAGATTCCAGATTGAACAGGTTCTGATTTGGTTAATTCAGATATTGAGATTGAAGAGTCTTAACCTGAACCGAGGTCAGTTTAGGGTCCTGTACAGCTTACGTTTCTGAGTCTGATTCTCAACCCGTTTATACGGTTATAAACATGATATTGAGTTTAAAAAACAGGATCAAGCCAGTATTCTTCAGTGCTGGCCCATGTATAGATCAACTTAAACCGGACTGTACTTGCACTGTTTCTGATTTTGGATTATAATTTCCGTTAAGTGTGGACTGTAAAAACCAAATGTCCCGGTTCTACACAGAACTAGGACCATGTCCAACCCTACAGGACGAACACCAAAATTTGGTTCTACTTATTTTAAATATAATAATGCCACCGTCCCAAAATGAAGCTTAATTCTGATCTTCTATTCTTGCTTTCAACATAACTCCATTTTAATGTCTGACTTTATATATCAAACTTAAATCATATTTGTATTTCATTTTGGGACTCAATATTATTCTATTACAATTTCAAATATGTAAATTTAAATTATTTATACTAGATTAAATCTTATCGAGGACGAGCTAACTTTATCTTCAAATAGTAATCTGATTTTCTTCTTTTCTTTTAATTATCTAAAATGGTGTTGCTTTAGATAGTTCTTTTTAAGCAAAACTAGAGATCAAGATGGTGTTGTTTTGGGATTGAGTTTTAAAAAATAATTTTTCTTCTTCTTAAGCGCAATTATGTTTATTTCTTGGAGCTACTAAAACATCTGAGTTTAAGCGATACTCATCGAAAAACTAAACTTTTCAACCTGATCAAAACCATAGCATCAGCAATCACTTAAGTACTAATACTATTTTTTGTGGCCTAAAGCTCCCTTAGTCCTCCAGTGATGACATGAATATGATCAAGTCTATATCACTCAACTAGACCCCTATTTCAACCCAGATTTTACTGACTCGTTAATTTCTCTTTGTTCGAACCTTTTGAGAGAGGAGCCTAGTCATTGCATCGGCTTCGAGGAAGCCACGCCCCACCAGAATTTTTCAACAGGGTGTTTAGATCCACAGGTCTCTAGATTCTGTTTGTCTAGTCGGGCCGGGTGATTGGGTCTCAAGCCGCTCTCCAGATGCGTATGAGTAGGCTACTGACCACAACACAGGCTAATGAAAGTGAACCGCGACTATCTGATACCATGATAGAATTCAAGATATCTTGTTGGACTCCTTTAACTGCACCTTACGATACTTATGCCGAACCAGAAATTATTAGCTAGTTCAACACAATATTGTATTAATTCATAAATTTCTCTTTACTTGTCTGAAACTTAACCAAACTATGTAATAATATGTGTTGGATAATCCTCCATTCTAACCTTATTCTCAACACAACCTTAAGGCATTTAGAATTGAAGTACTAATAGAACGTTAGGACTGTGGAGTAGAAAAGAAAGTTTGTAAATCACCTGAATTTCTACAAACGTGAATGGCAACAACAGTGTCACCAGGATCTGCAACTTTAATCAAAGCCCAATCAAGCAACTCTTTAGCATGGCTGCTATCAAACCGGACTCCCACCACCACATTCCTTTTCCCGGAGTCCATGACCACATCAAATGTCATGATTTCCTTCCTCCTTGAAGGCTATAATTAATCACCAGATGGAAACCCTGCAGGGATATCAGAGGATAGTGCCTCCAGCTCAGAAGACAAGAAATGCAGTGCTCCACAAGACACTGACCATGAATTGAAGCCTTCGTCTGAAAATTAAAAATGATGCGAAAATTTCAACAAAAGATAAACTAATATGACGCAATGCTCCAACTAGAAAAATTCAAATCTTGAGTTGTAAGCCATCCATATAATTTTAAAAAATGAAGATTCTCTCCATTTCGAACACGGAATTAAAACACTCAATAGTAATGATTAAACCCCCCGGATCGATACCCATCATCAATCAAAGTATGCAGACACGAAGGGAAATGGTATCTGCAAACAAATAATTCTGAATCTGCAAAAAATGAAGTAATATATGAGGAGATCAGATAAGGGAGGCCAGCAAACCTAAAATTCGAACCCATCTGTCTTTCCAAGCCATCAACAAAATTAAAACTTGAGATTTGTGATTTCTAATATGCCAAAAGTTGGTACTTCGCTGACGAGACTTCGCCTTCAGACCTTCTCCGTTTTTATTGCGTTAAAATATGAAAAAGAATTTTAAAAGGACAAATGAAGGAAGAGAATTTTGAATAGAATTGGCCATGCGCATACGGATGGACAAAATGGAGAGGAAAGAATGGCATTTTGGTGAGCTAAGAATGAATTCCCGCGAAAAGTGGACTGCGATTCAGTTGATCGTATTTAATTGCTCCTCCGTATAGATATTAGCGAATATAATTCCGTCTAAACTGACTCTAACTTGCTCCTCTATCTTGTTGAACTCCTTTAACGGCACCTTACGAAACTTATGCCTATTCAAATTTAGAAGTTACACATTTAGCATTTTTTTTGGAAGAAACACATTTAGCATATTTATAAAAATAAATACAATCATATAAAATAGGGAAAACTGTCAATTACACCCTCGTACTATGGGCGAACCCGCAATTGAGCCCTTCTACTTTGATAACCTTCAATTGAATCCGCCAAGTCTCCAAAATCAATCAATTAGGTCTACATTACCGGTTGGTTCCCGGTTTGCCCGTTTCTTGCCTTCCTAGCGCTGACGTGGACTTTGCCTATCGGTCTTTCAGTGCTGACTCACCTAAATCATTTTACTTCCACCACTATCCATAATATGAGCAAGCTCAGTCATCCGCTTGTTGCCTTCGCGAGTAAGCTTCTGATTAAACCCTTCCGATCTCTACTGCGCGTTCTCAGATCGAAGAGCGCTTTCAGTTCCACCACAGGATGCACTTGTCGGGACGCCGGTTACTACTCCTATTCTCCCGCTCACTTTCTAAGGAATTTTAGGGATATTCGGCGGCTGGAGCTCGCGCTTCCGAGCAAAACCGCCTGCATCGGCGAGTTCTGCGGCTTGGACGCCGGCTCGGTGCTGAAATGGACGGTGGAGTTCGATAGTCAGTTGAAGAGCTGCGTCATCGTGGGTGGAACGCCGATTTCTCCCATCCAGAAGAATTGCGGCCAAACCAATACTGTAGAAGACGGATCTAGGGAGGAATTGCAGATTTTCGACAATGAGGAGCTCAAATTGAGGATTGTGTGGACTGTCTCGTGCCTAATATCTGCATCCGCGCGGCACAGCTTTCTCCCGGAAACGATGAACGAGCACCGGGCTGTTGCGAGTGTGACGGTAACTGATGACATCGGCCAGGGAAGATTCATCATATTGTGGATAGTGGAAGTAAAATGATTTAGGTGAGTCAGCACTGAAAGACCGATAGGCAAAGTCCACGTCAGCGCCAGGAAGGCAAGCAACGGGCAAACCGGGAACCAACCGGTAATGTAGACCTAATTGATTGATTTTGGAGACTTGGCGGATTCAATTGAAGGTTATCAAAGTAGAAGGGCTCAATTGCGGGTTCGCCCATAGTACGAGGGTGTAATTGACAGTTTTCCCTATAAAATACTCCGTACTAGTAATGGTTACTAGTAGGTCTTTGTACTCATTATCAGATATGGCTCATTAAATCTGACCTAATTGGACTTAGAACCCGTTTGATAACACTGAAATCGGATGAATAGACTTATTCTGCTGAAATTTATGAAGTTCTGAGTGAAGTGACTGTATTGACTGATTCTGCTGATTTATGAAAAAATGTTTTTAAAATATATTTTATTAATAAAATAATGAAAAAGTTATATGAAAAATAGCTAAAATGATCATCTATAATAACTTCAGTCTGAAAAGTAATTTCAACCTCACTTTTTCTTATTATTACCCAATTCAGTGCGTGAAATCAAAAGTTACGTGTTGATTAAAAATGGCTAATAAGTCGAAAAACAGAGTTACCAAATGGATTCTTATTATATTTAATTAGTATTAGTATATATGAGTACTTTGTACTTTATATTATCTAGCATATGACTCATTATTACTAAAAAAGGATGCCAACACATCCCTAAATTAAATGAGATGATGTAAATTCAACTTTAATTTCAATTTACCAGATAGAGAGTGAGGTTCTGACCCATATAACTTCTTACTAAGTTTATAGATGATGTACGTGTAGGGATGTTGAGACTTGAGAGACTTATGTCTCTCGAAACATTGCAAGTTTCTTTTTGTGGTTACACCGAAGAGTCGGTTATGTAATTTTGTTGTCTGATAAAAGTTGGCTATTTAATTTAATTTAATTTAATTTAATTTAATTTAATTTAACATAACAACTGGCTGAGATGAATTAATACTAAAAGATACAAACTTAATACTTATTGTTATAACTTTCTAACATGCAACTTTCTAACATGCAACTTTGAACTTTTAAAAGACTTTAAACATTACAAAAGTTAAAATGTAAAAAAATATATTTGGCGTGGCTTCTAAAGAAATCTTTTATGTTTTTTTAAAATCTTAATAATGATTGTTATAACTTTCTAACATGCAACTTTCTAACATGCAACTTTGAACTTTTAAAAGACTTTTAAACATTACAGAAGTTAAAACGTAAAAAAATATATTTATCAAACAGACACTAAATATATTAGACCTATTAAAAATAGAATACACATATCTTATCTGATTAGACACTAAATGTATTTGACCGAGGTCACTCCCTCCATGACCGAGGTCACCTTCACCGGACATGCATTTGACCGAGGTCACTCCCTCCATGATAAAGCACGTTGTGCCCGAGCCCAATCTCACCTACTTAGACATTTCAGCAATCAAGTACCACAAAAGGGTGCAGCCACGGCACCGGGGCGACAATTGTACAAGGTTCACGCCACCTTGGTGGTTAACTTGGTTACTACATAGAATACTCCAGATAGCACATGTGTGGCACACACATGCGTTCTGGTACACAAAGGACAATTTTGTTGTGTACACTACCAATCAGCCGGTTGTCTAGAATATCTCTCCAATCAGCTTTACACGTGTCACCACACTATTAGACTAGTACACTTCTTCTTGTTAGCTGAAATTATACATGTGTACTCACTACAATAGAATAACATATTTTTACTTGTTGGTCAAGTATTTTTTTAGTATAAATATCACCTTCCAACATGTGGAAGATATCCGATCCAGATTTTAGTGCGAACTTGTTGTTACTCTGCAAAAAATTCCACTCAATCTTACTGAGCACTTTTCAATCTTCTCATTTTCCGGATTATGTCTACCCCTGGTCGGAACTTCTTCACTTTGATATTATTGATCGATTAATGTTAGTCGATCCCAAAAACTTTTGAGATTAAAGTTTGGAGGTTGTTGTTGTTAATCTCATTAGATAAATTCATACCCGATCAAATCACACGTAACCAATTAACAAACAATTAAATTTGATCACTTAAAAGTTAAAACCATATTGGAAAGGTTATGCTCAATGCGAAAACATTTTAGGATTTTACCTCTTAACTAGAGTCTAGACTCTTGTTTTGGTCAATAGTTCTTGCTTCTTAGACCTGATCTCCGACCCTAAAATGCTTACGAATCCATCGACGTTGGCTCCCCAAATCTATAAAGTTAATCAGGCGTTGTCAAACGCAAGAACACACGTCGAAAGATCCCAGGTCTTCCTAAGGCTTCCCGTCCAGCATCGGCCGCCAATTCACCGGATGGCTGTATCTATACAGACAGAGTTTATGGTGGAAATGTCATGTGAAGGGTGTGTGAAGTCAGTCAAGAGTAAATTGCAGGCTATCGAAGGTGTTAAAAGCGTGGATGTTGATCTCAATAATCAAGTAGTAAAAGTTTTCGGTTGTTTGCCAGTGAAGACTCTGACTGAAGCATTGGAACAGACCGGTCGAAATGCTCGGCTAATTGGACAAGGCAATCCGGAAGATTTTCTTGTATCTGCTGCTGTGGCTGAATTCAAAGGGCCTGATATATTTGGCGTGGTTCGCCTTGCCCAAGTGAACATGGAACTGGCCAGGATCGAAGCTAACTTCACTGGGCTATCACCTGGGAGTAGACATGGATGGTCAATCAATCAATATGGGGATCTGACATGCGGTGCAGCCAGCACCGGTGGAATTTACAGTCCGACTGCCGCCGACACTGGGAAAGAGGTAGGGTGGGCATGGGTCGGGTTTGACAAGGGCCCAAAGTGGAGCCCTAAAAATGTTCTAATGCTAGTGTTTAGAATAAAGACCCTGAGGATTTGAGATTTTGAGTTCCATAAAATTTAACAATAGGTTAGATTATTGGTTGGCTATTTTCCAAATATACTCATTTTTTACAGATTCTAAATATGCTCACTAAGTAACTAGTATAGTGATAATGGAGGGGAGTGATATAATTACTATAAGCATATCATATTAACCAGTCTTACAGTTTTGTTACCGTCAATATTTATTAAAAGATGATTTTTGCCTCCTTTTATATATCTTGGGCATAAATAAACTTTGAGTGAACCATAACAAAATCACTGGAAAATTTCTTCCAAGTCCATGATTAAGTGCACATCCATCCATAGGTGTGTTGTTGTATGATTGGTATAGCCACAAAATATGATGAATCCTTTGAAGTTTTTTCAGTTGGACTTGAACTTTCAGGTCTATTACTGCCTGGATTATTGCAGTTTAGTGGGATCTAAATTGATCTGATTTAAGTTGGTATTGCCTGATAGTATGCACATTTTGTAATTATCTACGTTTGTTATGATCTGTTCTCTTGAGTCTTTTCTTGCATGGTCTATTTAAGCCTCCTCTCAAATCAGCTCAGTGAAAACATCATTGATCAAATACTGTATTTATTATAACTTATAGTAACAGTGTAACACACATTACTGATTTTGTGTTGAGTCTGGCATACAAAGCCAGTCTGATAAACGTTATTTGTGTGACTATCTTCCTCTCTAGTGACACTTTTCACAAGCTGATTAAATAATGCGGGCGAATAAACTTTTCAGGCACTTGGTGATCTGGGAACACTGGATGCCAATGAAAAGGGTGAGGCATTCTATTCTGGTGTTAAAGAAAAGCTGAGAATAGGTGATCTGATTGGGAGAGCAATAATTGTGTATGAGAGGGAGGACAAGTCAGATGGAGGGATGAAAGCAGCAGTGATAGCTAGAAGTGCTGGTGTTGGTGAAAATTACAAGAAACTTTGCACCTGTGATGGAACTACTATCTGGGAAGCTCACAGCAATCTTTAAAGAAAAAGCACATACAGTAGTTAGTTTCTCATGTTGTATTTGTAACACCAAGAACTATGCATTTGCAACTCTACAGTCACCTCATTT